AAGTGACTTCAATTCTTTCACTTTTTTATACTTGAGAAAAAAAATTTAAGTGTGTCCATGTTTGAGGCCCATTTTCTGGCTCCATCCTTTCCTCTTACATAAAGAAATGAGATAATTAAGGTGAAGGTGCTTTATAAACTTTCAAGTATAATACAAATGTTACTTTTGTCATTTTCTGCCACAACATCTGCCACCATTGCCGCCACCAAGAGCACTACCACCGTGACTACCATAATCACCATCATCACTAACTCATTTAGTCAACCAACCAGCTCTACCTGGCTTCTCTCTGTGTTTGATAATGAAAACCACTGCACTCCTTTAAATGTTTACTGATTCTGACCTCTGGAATTCTGACTTTTGACCTCTCGACTTTAATTCAAGCACATAGCACATGCAGCTACATTTCCCTTCCTTTTAGTCCACTTCTCAGATTTCACAAGTGACTTCAATGCTTTCACTTTTTTATACTTGAGAAACAAAATTTAAGTGTGTCCTTGTCTAGGCCCATTTCCTGGCTCCATCCTTTCCTCTTACATAAAGAAATGAGATAATTAAAGTGAAGGCGCCTTATAAACTTTCAAGTATAATAAAAATGTTACTTTTGTCATTTTCTACAACATTTGCCACCATTGTTGCCACCAAGAGCACTACAACCGTGACTATCATAATCACCATCATCACTAACCCATTTAGTCAACCAATCAGCTCTACCTGGCTTCTCTCTGTGTCTGATAATGAAAACCACTGCACTCCTTTAAATGTTCACTGATTCTGACCTCTGGAATTCTGACTTTTGACCTCTGCATACTCCTTGGGCTTGACCTGGAATCAGAGATTCTCAGATATTCAAGGAACTTATTAATTACTTACTTCTTGAGCCCCCTGTACACTGGCCTCCTCACCAGTCTGGTGACAAAGAGCTCATCACTACTCAATGCAGATACTTTGGCATCTATGATGATCAGAAAATGCCTCTTTACTTTGAGGCTCAAAAGACATTGCTTATAAACATCAAGCTCCTTTTATTTTATTTTATTTCTTACCATGAGATTTATAATATTGAGAAGGTCAAGCAGGGCCAAAGTAGGTTCCACAGGCAAGTTAAAAAGGAGACTCTAATGGGTTGGTTTTATTTGGGGGAAGTAAAATAAATGTTAAGTTTTCTATGAGATTCAACCTAACTTAATGGTGAGAGTCAAACTACAGCCAGAAATAGAGTGTACCTGCACTTGGAAACCCCTGTCTTACATCTCCTTGGAAACTCTAAGCATTGTGGCAATTGGAAATAACAGATATAAGATCATTTGATGAGAGGGAATGAAATTTCAGCATCCAAGAGACTTGATTATCCAAGTATTCATCAATATTCTTTTAAAAATAATCTCTGTTCTGAAACTAAGTAATAATTGATTCTGTTGGGGTTATTTTTCAAATCCTCAAATGTGTTGCTCTCTTTGTAACAAGCCTTACATTTCTCCCACGCTAACATTTCATACATAAATCCTAAAGCTTTCCACAGAGGAAGCAATTATCTCTTCAGTTTCTTTATCACCAATAAATGTTAATAAAAGCATTCCAATTACTTGACTAGAGAGTCTCATTTTTTCCAGTGATAATGCATTAATTAAGATTGAGTTCTTAACATTTTTGGCTACAAGAATAGCTTTGAGGGGGAGTCCAGGAACCTTCTGGTATTGTATGCTAAATTTTGTCTATAACTGAACTTCTCTTGGGAAGCTTTCCATAGCTTTCATTCAATTCTAAAAAAAAAAAATCTACATCCCCAAAATGTTTAAAATTACTGCTTTAGAGGGTGAATATGTGGTGTGAATTTTTAAAGTTGAAAATCTACCTTTTCCTAGTATAAATTCTTCATTTGTAGCCATGTAATAAGAAAACTCTTTTGAAGATTCAAATGCTTTTGGATCATTAAAGGCCATTCACAACTTTTTTTTATTATAGTGATCATATACATGCAAGTATATTTTTAATGAATCAAGAGAGACTCATTCTGATTCATTTAAGTAAATTTTTAACAGAGAAAGCATATGATATTGCTGGAAGAGCCCTGAAGAGAATCAGAAAACTGGCTGATAGTTTTAGCACTGGCTAAAGTCATCTCAGTTCTTGGGGTTTTTGTTCTCTCAAGTGAAAAATGTGTGAATAAGAAAAGCTATTCAATAAATTAATTGAATGATAAATATCGATGTGGAGATTTTAGCTCAGGACCTCGGAAAGTGTGGGGCCTAGACCTTTCCAATGAGTGAAGGACAATCTGTTATCTCTGTCATTAGTTACTTACTGCACTGATAGTTGTCCAAATGCTATTGATTACCCCATCGTTTTCCAATTTGTATGGCCAGCTGTGCCTATATATTTCTCTCACCTTTTCCTCAGTATGTTGAAATGATATGATTTATTATTATTTTTCTTAATCTTAAAGGGCAGTTGCTTAAGAAATTTGATGGCTTATTCCTTTAAAAACTTCCAAAGTAGTTGTGACTTTAGGATTGAGACAAACAGAGACACAACTCTACCTTTGGAACACCTCAAGCTCAAACCACCTGTGAAGTGCTAATGCACAACTGTTTTTGCTGTTGTGTATTTAGCAGCTGTTCAACTAGCTCCTGTCATTTTACTTTCTTAATCACTTTTAAACTATCAGGCAAAAAATATAAAGCATTTATTATTTTGCATGTTTAAAACTAAGTTCCTATCGTGTTCTCATATAATATTTAAATGAGAGAGTGAACATGGTGGAGTAGAAAATATAGGGTCTGTGAAGACAGACCCAGGTTCCAGATCTGCCTCTATCCCGTGCTGGCTTTGTAGCCCTGGCCTGTTAGTTGGTCTTTCTGAGCTCCTAGTTTTTTTCCCTTTGGAAACAGAGTAGGCACACAATAAATGTTACTCATTTGTTTATCAACTTTAGAATGCTGACCATTAGGATGTCTGGGAAATAGATCACTAAACAAATATAATCTTCATAAGGAAAGGTGGAAAGCAAGTGAAGCTCTCCTTTGAATTTTGTTCTGTTATCATTAACAGCTACCACCAGATCTGGCAACACATAGGAAGCTCTCAATAGACATTGGTTGAGTTAATTAATTATTATATGGTGAGTAGCTTATAAGCCACACTGACTCCAGGCTTTTTAATTCCACTACCCAAGTCATTTGATATAATGGATATGTTAAGACCTGCCCCTCCTTTGTGACTACTTTCTGTCCAAAATTACTCCATTGAGGGAGGGGCCAACGAGTGCTCCACTCACCATTATTGCTCTGTCACTATCACCTGTTATTCCAAAACTTCCTTCTGTTCCCAATCAAATCCTGCTGATTCTACTGCTACCAACTCCATGTAGTGGTGTCTGGTATTTTATACCCAGTCAACACGTTCTAATCATTGCAGCTCAGATAGTTGCAAAATTGGAATTTATGGACATTGTAATGAGCCTTTCTTAACTCTAAGTAAAATGGGGCATACCTTATTAGCTATTGGTTTTTCTGCTGAACTGGCTGTTCATGTACCCACCTGTTTTTTAAACATTCAATTGTTTATATATTTTTTTATTAATTTGTTACATTTATTTATTTAAATCTGTTTCTTGTGGAATAGATCCAGATGTGATTAAGAAGAACCATGCATGAATCAAATGAGTGACGGGCTAGTTACCACTCTCCCACTTACAAAACAAGGGATTGGCTTCTTGCCATGTCAAGCTTTAGGCAGGCATCTTGGTTGTCTAACTGCCACCAGGCTCAGCTCCCCTGGACACTGTGATTCTATATTTTAGTCACCACAGCATACATCATTATATACTGAACATTTTGGAGTTCACAAATATATTTGTAAAAGGCCAATACCTAGGAATGGGAAACTGACTGAAAAATCATGTGTAATGATAAGTCATCATTTTTGGTGATGACAATAGTATTTGCATTCCAGGTTTAAGTGAATCCACATACCTTGCAGTCACTAAGGATCTTGGGAACAAAAGTTGCAAATGTCACAGAAAAGATATCATGGATTACATTATGTTGGGATGATTATATAAGGCTTGGATGATTTTCCAAGTACAATATGAAGGCCAGTGGTCACTTATTCATGTGTTGTAAACCTGGAAAATGGATCATTTTAATAGGCAAGCTTAAGGTTGTGTGTGTGTGTGTTTTAAAAATAAAAGTCTACTTTATTACTTTTTAATTGAAAATAAAAGATTTCTTGATGTTTCCTTGGTATTTTGTTCCAAGTATTTATGCAGTATATGAAGAGTTTATTAAACCAGAAGACAAATAAAGGAAGTTGAAAAGCTGAGTTCAAAACCCAGATCTGGGCCTAGTTGACCTGACAAAAACACATTCTAAACAAGATCCACTTTATACTCTTTAATCCCGTACACGTATAGGGACCACACTATGTTCAATACACTTTTGTGCAATTAATTTAAATTGATCCTTCCTTCATATTTTCCCACCAGTTGATAAACCAAGACTCATAGTTTAAAGGACTAATACATGACAGATATAAGACTAAGAATAGTGCAATAATAATAATGACCCACTTTATTGAGCAGTCACTATAATTCAGTAAAGCCCTTTATTAAGGGCTTTATATCTAATTACTGCTTTAATCCTCACAACAGCCCTAGGAGATAGCTATAATATTATTATTACTCTGACTCTATTTTACAGAAGTTTAGCCAGTAAATGCCAGCACAATTTTAACCCAGGCAGTCTGATTCCAAAAGCCCTCACATACTTTTAATCATAATGTTATACATTCTATTTCCCAAAACATATTAAGATTTCCCCCCTTTCTTTTCTTCCCTCACTACTACCTCTCTTCCTCCTTTTGCCACTGATGCTGAGGAAACAAAACAAAACAAAACATAAGCCCACAGTTGGGGTCAGGATTAGTGAGTCATGCTTTCCTCCATTAGCAGAATTCATAGGAATGGGGAACCAGATGAGCAAATTCTTCCAACAACTTACAAGATCCAGGGCAGCTGCCAGGATGGATGCATCAGGAATGGTCCCCGGCTCACAGCAGTTTAACAGAAATTGAAAGCGCTTCATGCCTTGTCGGATTGCTCCAAGGTTCACCACGTTTTTACTTTTTCCACCATCTTGGTTGGAAGACAGATGGTCATCAAAACTATGGCAACCTGTGGTGGAGGAATGAAGGAGAAAGAGTGTGAAGAATCACAGATTTAAAAAGACCTTCAAAATGACAACAATGGGTTTTCTGTAGTGTTGGCCTGAAAACATTCTCCCTAACTCCGCCCCCCTCCTCTTTATTTTAATGCTTATTTGGACACACCCTGACTTTTGGGAGTCTGGTGGCACATGGCATACGTAAATGTAAATGTGAGGTTTTACGGGTTTTACATGAGTAAAATTTTGAATACTTTTTGCTACCAGGTCTCCTTTTTAATACTTGTGAGAACTCTTGGATGTTTAAAATAATTCTTCCTGTAATCAACAGCTCATTTCTATTTTTATGGAAGATTCAATCACTGTGCAATTTCACACATGTTACATAAACTGACATCAAGGGCAATACTTTGATATGTTAATTGTAAAGAACCACTGACTATTACAGTCAGTCGTAAAGGACCTTAGAGGTTGGCAATTTAACTCCAGGATTTCCAAACCCATCTGAGCATCAGAATTATCTAGGAAGTTCCTGAATCTGATCTGGAGCTTCCAAATCTCTGGAAGCAGAGGGTAAGAATGTGCTTTGTACAGACACCCAGATGACAGTGATGCAGCCAGCCTCACCACACACTGTGGTGAGAGGTTTGGGGACCATTGCTCCCTCCCCTCTTAGTTTTCCGTAGTTAAGTTGCCTACAAATAAGAATCAGTCTGGAGCTTATTAAAATTCAAAACATCAGGTTCCATCGCTAGAGACTTTGGTTCCATAGAGCTATGTTTATTTTTAACAAACATTCCACTGATTTTGATACAGAAAGTCTAAGGGATCACACATTAAGGAAAAAAATAGTACACAGTATTGTTTTGCATCATTTTTATCCCCAAATTCTTTTTT